AGATAGTCCACCCTGCTGTTCTCCAAAAGAAGACCAGGATCTCCAGAGAGACAAAGAGGAACATTTTCCCGTTCAGAATATAACACTGACGGCACCAGAGCAGCCAAATCAAGGTGAGCAATTCTGGCTGGGTTTTCACGCAGCCCCTCACATCCAATAAAAGAATATTTGTTGTTGACACCCAACGAAACAACCTTCATTGCAATGCACACCAACAATACTCCTCGCAACAGACACCAATGAAACAATAGGAAAAAAGGTTATCAATAGAAGAATTGATCACTGATCATTGTGGGTGCTAAGCTTGGCTGTTTTGTCGCAGACGTTTCATGATCCAACTAGGGAACTTCATCAGTACTAGAAGGGAGTGCAGTGTGTGGAGAGGAGGAGGAGGAGGAGGAGGAGGAGGAGGAGGAGGAGGAGGAGGACTGTGGGGTCCTTGGTGCTCTCTGAGCTTGGTGGTTTTCTTGCAGACGTTTCATTACCAAATTTGGTAACTTTTTCACTATGTCCCACATTTATCGAGCGTCGGCAGGAAGAATTGGTAGAAACCCCACTCCCTTCTAACACTGATGATATTACCTAGTTTGGCAATGAAACGTCTGCAAAAAGCAAACAAAACCCACCAAGCTCAGAGACCACCAAGGACTCCACAGAAAAAAAAGGTTAGATTTATTCGGGGGAAAAAAAGATGCTGAATCAAGTAACATTCTACAGGGGTGGGGTTCAACTCTACCCCAAGGCTGTTGCAGACTCGGCAACACAGAAAGGTCTCATCCTAGGTCCTGATAGATGCCATGGCCTAATCAATAGATTCTCCCCTCCTCTCCGCTCAGAACTGATGCTTAGACACCACTTTAATGCTCTCTGATGCTCCAATGTTCTCTGATGTCCCTTTTCTGTTGACTCAGAGGTGCCCATCCCGGCTTTAAAACCCCAAGAGGAGAACGCGTCCACTTACTACAGCCCCAGTTTTGCCTGGAACGCCTTCCGCCCTCCGTTCGGCTACAGATCAATGACTTCCACCATGCTGGAGCACTCCATTCATCTGTATGGCAGCCCGATCCTTCCTGCCTCGGATCTCCCTCTTGATTACAGCATGCCCTTCTCGGCCGAGATGGAGACCTACCACTGCGTCATCTGCAACAAAGTGAGTTACTCAGAGGCTAGAACAGAAAGTCCCGAGTCCCCTTTTTTTTTTCCGGCGCCCTTGTAACTTTGAACGGTCCCTAAATGAATTAAGTCGAGGACTGCCTGGACCCTTTTGCTTTCTAGATGTTTTCTACCCCCCATGGCCTGGAGGTCCACGTGCGGCGGTCCCACAGCGGCACCCGGCCTTTTGCTTGCAGCGTTTGTGGGAAAACCTTTGGCCACGCAGTCAGCTTGGAGCAACACACCAACATCCACTCTCAGGTCAGTCTGGAAGCCGGAGAATCGAGAAAAGCGTCTGGTGGGTAAAACTGTGGTTGGTGCCCAGACCCTGCTCACCTGCCTCGTAGAATAAACACAGCCATGAAAACATCTATATGCGGTAATTGGCCTTATAAGGCTTACCGATTAAGGAGAATCTTTGTAG